AGGTATTGGTGAGCTGGAGTCAATTTAACTTAATCTCATGACTATCGTTGAATCACATCATCATTTTGGCATAAAAAATGCCACCTGTAGTAGCAGTATAGGTATATGAATCCGGCTCCAGTTGAAGTGGTCCAGAACCCCCATTACCTATAAAAATATATATCATTGGCTCCAGGTGGTGGTGAGCTGGAGCCAATTTAACTTAATCTCATGACTATCGTTGAATCACATCATCATTTACGCATAAAAAATTCCCTCTGTAGTGGCATGCCCCCCCCAGAATTTTTTAAAACATTTGATTGCATTTTAAGCAATTTCGTGCAGTTTGGACAACATTCACACCAAGAAATGTAATAAGTCAATGGCAAAAGTCAATAAGTCAAATAAACAAGATGGCAGATGCAGTAAAATTTCGAAGTTAAATCAGTACTTTTAAGAAATCGGGCATAGCTTTCGCGCACCTGGCTACCCGCCAGGTCTGGGAGCAATACTGCCACAAACTTCAACCCCCATCCCCCAGACACAAGGACAACTGTCACAAGCGTGCAATGTCTGACCCTTTCCCCATGTTGAAGCATATGGAAAAAAACTTACCTTGTACTTACCTTTTGATGGAAAAAACAAAACTCCATTGCAAACATAAGACATTAATACAACATATCCCCATGACATGGGGTTTTGGACGCTGAAGAAACATTCATAGTTTTTTCGCTTATCACATGAACTGTAAAACATCTCATTCACTTACAGGCTAAAAGGCAACTTTATCTTAAAAACAAGCCATCAGCTGACTCTGAGTATTTACAATTTCTGTGTGACGCCACACCCCACGTTATAGTGCAAGTATTCGTGACAGAAAACGTATGATGTCCGAAAACCTATGCTGGTGAAAGCCCTGATCGAAAACAGGACAATCCGCGCCAAATGTCCGGTTTTCGATCATATTTTTCGGAGTGTTTTTTTTAATTTTTAGTTTAATTTTTACGGGGAAGATGATTTTTTCCGAGGACTACTGTTTTAAAAAACGCGATTTTCCGCGTTTCCGCGGAGATTTCACATCCCTGATGACTATCGTTGAATCACATCATCATTTACGCATAAAAAATTCCCTCTGTAGTGGTGGTATAGGTATATGAATCTGGCTCCAGTGGAAGTGAGCCAGAACCATCATTACCTATACTACTCCCCAGATAGCATTCAGACGTTGGCCCAACGTCGGCAATGGTTGGCAGTGTCGCGGTCGGATTTTATACGTTGGCCCAACGTTGTTACAACGTTAGGTCGCATTTCGGAAATTATTTCCAAGGGGCGCTACTCGTAATTGGCAGCTTCACAGAGAGGGCGCTGCGTTTTTTGCGCCTCTCAACGAGCAGACGACGAGACACAAGCACACGTTCGATCATCGGAATACCGTTTTCCTCGAATATATAGAGGTAAGTGTTTAATCAATATCTAATATGATGTACAAACAGTACCCGAGAATAAAACAACCATTGTTCATTCAGAAATATCAACACGAGTAATTATTTTCCAGAAATTGAAAACACCACAAACTTCATGACCCGAAGCCAAATAGGAATATATGTCACTCTGATTGCTTGCAAATATATAGCTTACTATTACTAGCATACCCCAAAAAAAGTCGCGCTTGTCCGTATCATAAAGTTTGTCGTGATCGTGAGGACAAGTTAGTGCAAAGAAATGTGCACCGTGTCGCATAAGTTCAGATGGAGTGTCGATCTCAGCTGTTTCTAACAGTTGGTGGTCATCGGACAGCGAGCGACCACATGACTACCTAAACAAACACTGACTGTGGTATTTGTAAATGAATACTGGTTGTTTCTATTCTCATGGAAGTTTAAAAATAACAAGCAAACTCAACTGAAAAGGTCAATTTCGTTCTCTCTTGTGCAATTTTACGGTCAAAAAGATCAACTAAACTGAACAATTCAGAACGAGGCTTCCAAAACTCAAAGCATTCCGTGTACATGATAAAATAATACCATGCAGACTCCTACTGATCAGTGTACGGAGCTTTTTCCTGTTGTCGGCAACATCGCGAGTTCAGTTTTCGATCACAAATCAGTGGCCGTGGGATTGTGTTTGTTGTTATTTGAAAGGGATTGATAATGGCACAATCGCTTTTTTATTTGTGCATACCGCGGGGGAGTAATGGTTAGAACGAAGGGAACGTATTGGATTAGATTGGGTACGAAATAGTCATGAAATCATTTCCGATTGAGAATAATATATTTCAATAAATATTTACAGAGCTGTTTCAGCTTCATCTGGTGTTGTCTCCGATATCGCATTTTGTTAATCTTTCCAACGTTACTATCTTTGTAAATAATGGAACTTAGATATCATGGCATATTTATATGGAAAATATTCATATTTATATTTTTAAAATAAAATAGAATCTAAAATCACGATTTTAATTTAATACCAGTGTTAACACTTCTATTACTTATTGGAAGGTCAATTCATAGTCTTATTCAACATTCATGCTTCCAACATTGGAATTCTTTATTTGGCAATATATATTTTTCATTTATTTGTTTATTTTTCACATCAGATTTTAGAAACTTTGCCAACATATGCATGCTATTTTGCATTATTTTTTACTTGATCACAAGTTTGTGAGGTACAGCAGAAAGGTAAAGTTATTGCTTTTGAATAATTACAGTTGGTTTCTATTGGCTGATAAAACTATTTGCCAAAAATAACACCACTCACATCATACTGTTAGTAAATCAGATTTATCTCTACTGATTTATTTGAGAATGTGATACTTTGAGGTTTCTATTTTTCTTTCAGGTGGAGTTTACAGTATTGTGGAAGCATATTTGTTTACATCACATCACAGCCAGAAAGGTATACATGATGCAATAATATATTCAAACATCTTCAATAATAAAAATTTAGATGATTCTTATTTAACTACACCCCCAATCTAAAAGGGCGGGTGATCAAGTTTATCTGTCCGTCCTTCCTTCCAAAGACATTTTTGTGTGTGAGTGCAGTGCAAAGTTTGATTTTGATATGTATATTTTCTGAACAAAGATGATTCTTTAAATGTTTTTAACTTCAAATATTTCTTTTTATTTCAACCTTTGTGCGACCTATCACTTGAACACTACTTCATGGAATCTTTTCCAATTATGGGTACAGTTTCTACACCCACAGGAGAGGTGCAGTGTGAAGTTTGGTTTTGATTAGTGTATTTTCTAAGAAAATATAGCTTTTGTTATGATTTGAACTTAAAATATTTTTTATTTCAACAATTGTGCTACCTATAACTTGAGATCTACTAGAGAACATGGATTCTGTCCAAAATTAACGAACACTTTTATATTAAAAAATGGGATGCACAGCAAAGGTTGATTTTGATATGTGTATTTTATTAAACAATATAATTTTTGTACATGTTTTGAACTTAAAATGTTTGTTTTTTAATTCAACATTGTGCGACCTTTAACTTGAGAACTGCTGCATGGATTCTTTCCAAATTTAAGAAACACTTTCTACACTAATAAAAGAGGTACAGTGAAAATGTTGATTTTGATATGTGTATTTTCAGAAAAAAATATGATTTGTTTCATGTTTTGAACTTAGAATTATTTTCTTCAACATTTGTGAGACCTATAACTTGATGTGCAGTGCAAAGTTTGATTTTGATAATTATGCGTTTTCTATGTTTTAAACTTTGAAATATGAATGAGTCGTTACTCTTGTTCATTTAGTGTTAATAGCTTTTCTGCCTATCTATGATTCAAGAGCATCATGGTATTACTGTCTATGCTACCTTCCCAGTTTTGGCTGTTTTTAACAGTTTTATGACTTGGATGGGTGGAGGTAGCACTGCTGAGACTTTTTTTCATACATCAAAATATTATTTAGGGGAAGGCAACCATTTTGTATGTAAAAAATGTCCCTTGCCTTATCATTATTATAATTGTGTCATTGTTTTATTCAGTTACCAAGGCACACAGAGAGACCGTGGATACAGTTGAAGATCATCCCTGTGATAAGTTCTTCTGACATCTGAGGATTGAAAAGGCTCCTCAACCACTCAGCCCAAGTTCTGATTTGTCATGTAACAAATAAATAAAGGTCACCGAAACCAGAATTCTATTGTCATTTTGTTGCTGTTATCATATTTTTTAATAGATCAAGTATATTGATCATAGGACATCCGATGCATGGACTATTTTGCTTGTCTCAGCGTAGCCCTAATGCTGAATGTATGGGGTAAGGCCAAGAAAAATTAAATTTCAATTTGTGGCAGGTTTATTGTCTGATGGTTTTTAATTTGCAAACTTGTGGGAAAATCATTTATCTTTTAATAGTGTTGAAACATTTGTGAACAATTTGCACATAGTCTTGAAAATGGTTTTGGAAAGTAAATATTATAGCACCAAATTGCACGTGTAATTTGAAACATTTTGAATTTTTTCTTGGCCCTATTTCAAACTATGTATGCCGAGGTACCCTGCCAGAAGAGAGCGCATTTCATTGGCACGTTCTTTCATGGAAAGAGTTCAGAGTGAATCTAACTTGCAGAATGTATTGCTTGTTACCTGATGTCTTAACTACCTTGGTACAAACATTTCAGGCTGCCTGGGAGGTATAGTGAGGAATAAAACAGACGTAATCCAACGTTGGCCATCAACGTTGGGCCAAGGTTGGCTATCAACGTTGGCCCAACGTCATTTTGACCGGCGGCCCAACGTTGGGCCAACGTTGGCTGAACATCGTTGGCCCAACGTTGGGTCAACGTTGGCAAAGAAACGTTGGCCCAACGTTGACCCAACGTTGGGCCAACGATGTTCAGCCAACGTTGGCCCAACGTTGGGCCGCCGGTCAAAATGACGTTGGGCCAACGTTGATAGCCAACGTTGGCCCAACGTAAGTGATAACGTTGGCCCAACGTTGGCCCAACGTCTGACTGCTATCTGGGTCCCCACCTAGCTGCAGCCCTCTGTGCAGATAAATTTTCTTCGGTAACCAGTTTATAGGCATTATCCAGATCATCAATGCTGTAATTGGATCTATAATGACCACGAACGGTCGTACTGGTCTGAAAGAACATAAAGAACTATCTTAGAACCATTGGGACGAATGGTAAACTACTATAAGAGATGTCCCGAAAACGTTTCCATATTTTTTTTAACCGCGCATCATCTGATGACTTCAGTCACGTGATATATTGTTGACAAACATGGTTAACTTAGCAGACGATGCCGAAAGGCGAATTTTTAGAAGTTCAGTACTACGATTTCCAACACTTTTAAATAGGGTAAGATTGGTAATAAGTTTCGAGAGTATATTTCAACAATATTTTTGTAACTATAGTAAGAATACCTTCCTGATTTCCATATGGAGCCGATCTTTTCCCCCCGAGAGGGTCGAAGTGACCTGCTGACGAAAATATCACCCGGTGACCTCTGACACAGCACCTGCTCTCGGACAATAACGCAAGAAACATGATCGCCGAAAACAGGAGAACGCCGAATTCAGGTAACGTTGGGATAGTGGAGGGACGCATAGCAAACTCTGATTGGTTTAGTTTTGAAAACATTATTTTAATTTATTGTCACTATTACTTCCTTTGATATTTTATGTGTTGTTCCGGGTTGATACAATATTCTCATAGATTACCTAATGTTCTTCTCTATAGTAGATAGATCTATAGGCCCTATCGCCAATTCAGAAAACAAGCAAGACTGACGACTGTAGTGAAAGTTTATATCAAAGTTCAGTTCATATTTCATAGCGTGTTGAAGTCTCACTTGTGACAGATTGACTGCAATAAATAAGAAAATATAGCATGACATAATGCTATTTTACATTGTGATACTTTACAACCTTATGTAACAAACTTCACCAATAAAGATATATTTTTACAAAGTCTACAACTTTGAAATTCTGGAGAACCGAAACATGTCAGTCAAGTCATATAACCAATATTTCTATAAATAAGCATTTACTGTTAAATAATAAGTTTGAAAAGCCCTCGCAAAACAACCTGTTGCAAAATCTATATTTAACACCTCGTGCAAAGCGAGCGAGTTTTGAATGCAGCAAACAGCTTCGAAAGCCATGTGAAAATACAGACTGAATACTATAGAAAGTGCTGCTGATAAGTTAATAATATTAACACAAAATGCTTCCAAGCAAAGACTGCTAATAAAGTAATTCATACCGTTTGTAGACCATCTATTCTTCCAAAAGCATAACCCACATGGCAATGATGGCAGGCAGGCCAGCGAAATACTTCAAAAATAAAACCTACCAGCAGTTATCCCCCTTTGTAACCACGAAAATTGCAACCCGCTAAAAAACAAACTTGACAATAAATCACTACTATTTGCACTAGGGTTAATCATAGCAATTCTCCGACAATCTATCTAGAACACATAAATACCAAATAATAATTTTATCATTTTGGCCGTAACACCTAACTAATGTCTACCTATAGTGGATAAAGGTAATAAAAAAACAAAGGCTGGCGTTTAGTTAAGCCGGCGGCATTTTAGACTGACCGCCGACTTGTCAAGGGGATTACCGTTATTGGTCAGCGTGTCAATCTGGAATTGACACGCAGCCGGTGACTGTAATGCGAACGGACATCTATTGTCTAAATTATGTCTCGCGGCATGTTTTTACAACCTAAGTGAGTTACTGCCATTTATGTGAGATGTCCGAGGTTTGACTGTAAAGATACCTTAGTTTATTTTATAAATTTTGAATATTATTTTTATATTTTGATATGAATTATTAAGCAAGTTTGCGCACTATAACCATACCCCTCTGCCTCGAGAAGCTTTTGTCCTCAAAAGCAAAAATAATGATCTCTGAGAATATTGTTCACAAAAATACATATAAAGATACAATTATTGTCTTCAACCATCTTGATGAGGTTCTCACATGTAAAAATTACAAATACAAGGAACATATTGAATCATGTTAATGATGAAGGTAGTCCTCCATTGGAAGGACCTCATACAAACCATGATGAGAGATGAGGATGTTTGTGGCAAAAGGTTGAGAGAGTATGACGTTTATACGTCTTGCCATATATGGTGAGATTCTAACTGAAAGCGGAATCTTTAACGATTGCTGGGTAAGCTTGTTAAAAATTCTGAATTAGGGCCAGGTAACGTTGAGAGTAGGTCTAAGGTAGCTTGATATGTACAAATTTTTGACAATGGATGGTGGGTGAATGTCCCAATATGATGGACATAATGATAGAGACATTATTGGCACTAGTTCGCATAAAGAACCAGTAGTAAGTGCTGACAAAATGCAAGATCAGAGTATGGTTTGATTTCTTAGTGAATACTTTATATAGGATAACCAAAAGCAGTACGAATGATATGGAAATAACTATCATTGGAATGTGGTCATACGTAGTATTAAGAATAGTTTAGACATTACTGGGTGGGGGTGGAGTGGGATCATGATATTCGAACGATGGGATAGGAGTGGATTTTACTGAAACAGTAGCTTGAAGGATGATGATAGTGGCAGTTTAAGCTCTTTTCTTAAAGAACATCCAAAAAATGCAGCTATGGCTAGGACTGATAGAACTGCCGCACCTAAAGGAATGGTGGAGCCAAGATCAAACCAGGAAGATTTAACATTAATTTTACCATCCAAAAGGGAGTCTGTTAGACTCTGAAAGATAACCTCATTCTGTTTAACACTTGTAGCCATACGTTTAAGACTAAGGTGATCCTTGTGGTCATTAGCAATAACTTTAACAAACTGGTGTGTATGAAAATGAAAATCAGGAATCTTGACAATAACTGATTCATTATTAAGGGTATTACCAGCAACCGCATCTAAAGTAGAGTCTTAAAAAAAATGCTGTTATAAAGCTAAGTTTACAGGATGTGGGTAGGTGATATCCTGGTGGGTAAGGTTTTGCCATGTTCCCAGATGTGCAGGAAATATGAGGTCTTGTGTTGAGATAGAACACAAGCATGGTAGTTTTATCATGCAAAAGTAACAACCCGTGATGATTCTTTGTCCATCAGCGATAGTGACATTACACTGTGCTTTAATTTCTGCTTTATTATTGCCATATAATGCCATTTTACATGAAGTATGTGTTCTGGTTGCTAATGTAAGTCTTAATGGACAGTGTAACGTAGAAGTGCCATAGCATTGAGAAAGTTGGTCCATTCTGAGAGTTGTAGAGTATTGCTGGTTAAGCGATGTGGCTTAAAAGGGTGGCAGATTTAATAGTTGTGTGGAGTGGCTAGTAGACTCATTTACAGGAACTGGCATTGAAATGATTTTGTACAATTTGAAGGTAGCATCTGATGGAGCCAAAGGGAACTTAACAGTTACATATAGTTTGCTTGACTTAGTCCTTGCATATAGAAATTTAGCATTGTTGTAATAGAATTGTACATCAGTATGTAACAATTTAAAACCATTGTATTTACTTTTAAGAAGATGCTGAACATGACTGATCGTTTTGCTAAGGATTGCAGGGGAGATTAAAAGTGGTGAAAGTTTGCCTTTTAGTAGGTCTAAAGTTCCTAGTTTAAATTGCTGCAATTTGTGCTCAATAAGTGCAGCTTGTTCAATCTGGTGAAGCAAAACTGACGATAAGGACACATAAGCATTTTGAAGATTATCATATGAAGCTTTAATGCTGGCTGTAGCATATCTGATTGCTACATGATTGATTTTTATGCCTTAAAGATCATTTGAAAATCGAGTATCTTCATTTGCCATGATTGATGTTAAAAATTTGTGCTCATGCTCTGTTAGTGCATTGCCTATTAGAGATGCATGCTTTGTTAGTGCATTGATGTGTTTGGCTAATATGTTGACATCATTAGTTGTTGCAGTGCCAAACAATGACTTTGACAGTTGACCAATAAAACCTAATAGTGCCCGCATGGATCTTTGTCCTTCGGGAAATGATGAGATTGGTTGTATTTGATTTATTTGAAATACTGTTTCGTTCAGCATTGCTGAACATCTCATCTTGATTGAATTTAGTTGCCTATGAATTAATTTGACTAAACGACAAGTTGTATTGTCATGTTAACATCCGCTGATCGAGGGGATGTGAAAAGTGGAAGGGATGTCAAGTTGATACGTATGACGCCAATATTCATAGCGAACTGGATTTGAGAAATGGGTTTGAAGATAACACCATAGTGAATACGCTGAATGATGTTGTCATCGGAAGCAAGAGTAGCAGGAGTAAGCAGCATTAGCCAAAAGAGAAGGTTCCAGGTCATCAGATTACCTGTGAGAAAAAGATATGATGGGGTGAGATAAGTCTGGGGTGAAGTAGAGCGGCCGTCTCTATCTCCTAGCACTAATAATAACACTTACGTGTCTAAGTTAAGGCCTATCTCATCCCATAATAATAATGCAGTTGTTAGTAGAAAGCTAGAGTTGAGAGTTAGAAAGGCTCAATGAGATAGAATCATGCTTAGTCTCTACTGAAGAACGTCTTCTTCTTGCGCCACCTTCGACCATCAGTGTAGTATTTGGCATTGAAGGTGTTTCTGTGCTCTATGTCAATGTTATCCTCCGGTTCCCATGTTGGTCTTGATCCAACCCATTTTACAAGATATTCAATGTTGTTGTTTTTCCATCTTCTCTTCATGATCTTTGTGAAGTTAAAGGTTTGGTTATCATCCCTAGGGTCTGCTTGATCCAGTTGATCTTGACTAGTGTTGTCTCTCAGGGGTGTGTCCTGTTGGTCTGTTTGACCTTGATCCTGGTTTTGGTGATGTTGGATAATCTCCTGATGTTGGCGGGGTGGGATGATTTGATCTGCTGGCTGTCTCTGATGATACATCTTTAGACAATTATGATTAACTAGTGATTTCCATACTTTCATTGTTGTACAATCCTGAAGTTTGTAGGTGTGGTTAGGACCTATTTCTTGGATTGTAAAGGGTCCAATGCATTTCTGGGTCAGCTTACTACTGTGACCTTTCTTGACTGCTGGAGAGTGAAGGAGGACCATGTCACCTACAATGAATTTGGGATGACTAGCTTTTTGGTCATACCTGTTCTTGGACAGTTCTTGACTGGCTTCAATGTTCTGCCTTACAATGTTCTTGGTGACCTTGAGGTTATCCAGAAGTTCCTTTAAGTGCTCAGTCATATTTTTTCTCATGGATTCCTTTGGTAGGATGTTGGTGTCATAGGGTAAGAGCATTTCTCGCCCGAAGAGAAGATAATGTGGTGTATAACCTGTTGACTGGCAAGGAGGACTTCGGATTCCCATCATGACAAATGGTAATACCTCATCCCAGTTGTCCTGTTGGGGCTGGCATAGACCTTCAGGATTTGTGCAATGTCCTTATTTCTTCTTTCGCACACTCCATTGGTCTGAGGGTGGTAGGGTGATGTGTAGTGGTGTTTCACCTCATACAATTCACAGATGGCATTGACTTACTTGGAAGTGAACTGTCTTCCTCTGTCTGTTACCAAACTTCTTGGAGCACCGTACCTTGTAAAGACCTCTTTCATCAACA